ATAAAAAAGACAAATTTATATCTTTTTAAAAATTTGAAAATTATGACAAAAGTAGCCAGTGTAATTATGGCAAGTGTAACCATTATGCAAGTGTAACTTATGGCAAGTGTGACTTATGGCAAGTGTGACTTATGGCAAGTGTAACTTATGGCAAGTGTAACTTTTGGCAAGTGTTACTTATGGCAAAGGTATTATGGCAAGTGTAATTATGGCAAAAGTATTCTGGCAAATAAAAATGAGCCGAAAATTTTGAGAACGAACAAAATCAATTATTCTGAATGATTAAAAAAACGAACGAAATTGGTCGTTCATGAAAGATGAACGAACGAAATGAAAAAAAAAACTTTAAAAGCCGAGCGCATTCCCCAGTAAAATGACCCAAACTTGTACTTTTAACATCTCCTTAAATTCATTTATTAGTTTACATGCTGAATTTTATGAAAAATATATATCCCTATCATTTTTTATTAGAATTGAAATTATTTCCAAAATTTCCAAAATTTCCAAAATTTCCAAAATTTCCGAAATGCAACAATATTGAAAGTTTTCCATTAATTGTTAATTTTCAGTATTCTGAGAATTTCTTTTTTAATTAAATTGTTTGAAAAGAGTAAAATCTTTAGAATTTTTGAATGCTTTAATAAATATCTTGCAACAAGGAATGGAACATTATGATTTGAAAAGAGAAAAAGTTAAAAGGACTATTGGTGAATAATGATTGAAAGGTGTACTGGTTGAATCAGAATTAAAAACAAAATCTAATGAAATAAACTGTAAATAGAAGTTTTGTAAATTCCCCACAGTGTGATCCAAAGGTTGTAAGCTATCAAGCAAAAATCTTTGAGAACATTGTCTGCAATTACTTTTTAAAATTTTAAAATTTAATTAGTAATTATTAAAGTGGATTCATTAAATATTATTAATTAAACGGATCTATTTGTAAATTTTCAGTAAATGTCAAATATTGAATTCGAAATAAACTATCCTTCCTATCCTTCCTAGTACTCCTGAAGATAAACTATCCTTCCTATCCTTCCTAGACCTCCTGAAGATAAACTATCCTTCCTATCCTTCCCGGACCTCCTGAAGTCTACACAGTAATATTGTACATAGACAACACATCAGTGATCCATGGTTGGAGAAGAATGCATAAGAAGAACTACCTAGAAGCTTCGGTGATCATTTGTACTGTTCACATCATGGCATCCTACCTACACTGCAGGGTGTATATCCGACACGCCCCCAGGATGTCCGCCCTGGCTGCAATCGATGGCAGACCACCTCTCCAGGAGTTCCTCAACGTCTTCAAAGGAAGAAAAAAAATAGCCCGAACATAGGAATGTCCTCCAGTTTCCCTCACTGAAAATAAATAAAAATCCGACAACTCTTTGATATAATATGCAGTCCTCCCTTTACGGCAAAATTGAGTAATTATTTATTTTAATAAACCTCTACATCATACTACTCGTTGAGGAGTCTATTCTGGCTATCCATTCAGGCCCTACCTACAACCTACTTCTTGGTTTATCATTCAGAAGAGGGTTTAACACCCTCTCTTCTCTCTGGGTCCTCAAGGGCTGGTCAATTAAGCGTTAATTTCTTGCTAATTCTAAAATCAATATATTATATTTTATTATTAATATTTTATTTATAATGCCTGACACATGATATCATTGAAATATTATTCTATTGGGCTGTTGTTACTGAAAAAACGTTTAAATAGTGTCTCTATGCATAGGTATCATACCTTTCCATTGGAATTCTAAACGATAAATCAGCTATTTCTCTGTCCATAGTTATCTTTGAAAAGTGAGGCTACTACCAATAAATAGCTATAATAGACTAATTACATTACCATGAAACTACCCAAATAAGTGAACAGTTTCTTTAAGATGGAAACGATGGAAACTATTATAACTAAGTTAACTAAAGTTAGAATATCTTCAAGTTTAAACAATATATTGGAAGGCAACCAACAACACCTAGGTTAATCAATTCGTTAAGATATTATTTTTCTAAAGAAACAACAATTTAAAATATTCGGTTTTTAAAATAATGAAAATTTGATATATATTTAAGGGTACCGTTGTGAATCAGGCATTGCCACCTTCCCATGAGGGTAACTTGAAATTACACTTATAATCCTTTAATATCATTACAAATTAATATCAGTATGTTTGTTTGCATTCTTGAATAATTTTTAATTCAAAAGACTAGTTAGAAACTTATATATATCAAAAGTCTCTTTTTACAAAATTTTCATAGCATAATATTTCGTAACAGAGTATTTTGGTATAATTTTGTAACAGACTTTGTTTCATGTATCCAAGATCCTAACCTTGATCAATGTACGAAAGCTTTTGTCTTAATTCATAAGGTTCGTGTAGTTAAAAAAAATAATGTCAGAATTTACAGGATGACACTTCAGAGACGACTGTAGGAATGGATTATATTCAGTTCTTTTTAAAAATGAAAAGTATACTGAATCTTAAAAAAAAAATAAGAGGAAAAAAAAGTTTACGGACATTAATTTACAGAACTTGTGTGATTTTACTCAAAAATTATACTTTCTTCATAAAAACATAGTTTTAATACAATTATCATAGAATATTTTTCCTAATTTATATGATGGAGGAAAAATAAAGAAAAAAAAAATAAGTTTTGGGAGATTTAGATAAGTATGAATTTAATTTAATTCCCTAAATAAAAAATAATAAAAAAGAGATTCAAAACCAATATTTCTCGTTTTTTGGTGATGTTTAAAAGTAAAAGTTTAAGTTCTGTAAAAATAATTATCTTTTTTTTCTCTTTCTGAGAAGTTCATTTTCAGACGAAACAATTATTTTTTGATTGTTTATCAAATATCTTTTTAGGATTCGTGTGGTTCTGATTTCAAGAACAATTACAATTACAAATATGATAAATTATGTATAATAATATGATAATATAATAATAAAATGATATAGTAATATATCATAACATAATTTAATAAAAAACTGTAAATCTAAGTAGATTTAATTTTGAATCTATTTATACTTTTTCTAAACTAGGCTTTAAGGGCGCTTCAGGGCCCCCTTTCTAAAACTTTAGCTTTGAATTGTTGCTTTGAAGTCGCCTATGTTAATTTTTTCCAATCAAAAATTAGTTATTTTTCGGAGATTTTTCTGTTAAAATTCTTTAATTTTTAAAAACAATGAATCTTGACATTTCCTTTGGGCAAATTTTTTATTTGTAATCATGCATGAACCTTTCCTGGGGTCATGTGAGTTACCACACAAAATTTGGGCCCGAACAGATCAGCTATTTAGGCCTTTTTTTAAACAGAGAAACTAAATTTAGCGCATTGTCATTTTTTAAATTAACTCTTTTCAATTAATGAACAAAATATGGAAAAAAATATATAGTGAAAAGAATTGAATAATTTAATTTTCTGTGTATCATAAATTTCTTGCCAAATATTAATCGGAAATTGAATTATTTTAATTTTTTTATTATTTTTACAATCAACAATTGAAAAGAAAAATAAATTAAAATACCTAAGACAAAAAAAGTTTTTTTTTCCTCTCATGGAAAATAAGAAAAGAATATAAATTTATGTTAATACAATGATAATCATTTCCTTCCTGCAAGTAAAAAGATTTGCAAAAGACTTATTTTGGTTTATTCGATTGTATGCATTGCTTTTATATTTAAAATTGAAAGTTTTAAAAGTATCTCATAACAGCAAAGCTATCATGTGTCAAAAAGACCCTTCTAACTATAGAAACAAATTACGTAAACCAGAAAGTCTTCTTTTAATATGTGAATAATCTGGTTAAAAGTTAAGTTGAAATTATTGAAAAACACTTTGCTTCACTGTCTGTCTGTTTGTAGTAAATGCCCTATTCCAGAAGGAGTTTTCTATCCCGTATCTATCCAGGTACAATCCAGTTTTCACTTAACTATCAATATCTAAACACGGATACAATCTGGTCAACTATAAATGCCAACCAGGACAAAAACTAATCGATCAATGCCACTACCACTGGGCACGATCTCGTTAGCTATCGATGTCAGCACATTCACTTGCAATTAACTATCAATGTCTCAACTAGGACACAATCTTGTAAACTGTCAATGTCTCAACTAGGACACAATCTTGAGCTATCAATGTCTCAACTAGGACACAATCTTGAGCTATCAATGCCTCAACTAGGACACAATCTCGTAAACTATCAATGTCTCAACCAGGACACAATCCAAATGTTTCTTTGCGGAAAAAAAAAATGGTAAAATTAAGGATTGAGAATAAGTCGAAAATTTGATAGTAAATGATGATCGATATTAAAATTGTTGATTGCAACTGAGTATTTATAGCAACTTGGCCTGCTATCAAATGAGGCTTGATAGCAAATGAATGTGGTCACATGACCCCATATGGAAGGCTTGTGGAAACTCAAAATTACAAAAACTTGTGTGTAAAAGTTTTGATTTTTGTTTTTTAAATGCGCAAAAACTTATGAAATACGCAAAGTTTTTTGCTATTGTTTTATATTATACAAAAATAATTACAGACAGAGTCACGGTAATTAAAAGATGGGTGCGAAGCGCTTTAAAAGCCTGGTTAATTAAATAAAATTAGATACACAAAATTTCTAAATAAATTATCTATAAATTTGCATTAATCGTTTTTTGTTCCCGTTTTCCTCTTTTTGCATTCCTGATTATAGATTTAACGGTTGTTAACATAAATAGCTAAACTTTAATGTTCGTTCACGAAATTTAGATTAAGTAAACAATGATTCGTTAATGTAGATTTTACCCTGGTCCCATCTTTAAATGATCCAAACTGGTGCAGCAGGGATTTACCGGTCTTGTGTATCATGCACTCACTTGTACCAGCCGGTCTAAGGCTCCTTCGTGTGTTCTAGACCCTGCAAGTTTTTGTATACAACATGTATATATAGGCTGGGTGGATCGATGTTGTAATATCAGTTTTCTATTTTTTTACTTAAAAGTACTTTTTTCAACAAAATAGTCCGTTTATTTATCAAAAATAGATTGCCATTTGTTTCAAACGATATCGCCTTCTGCGCCCAAGTCTGAACATAATTTCAATAACAATCACGGAAAAAAACTTTAACAAATCACTACGAATCACTTTCAAAATTATTGATTCTAAAGCAATTAAACTGCACAATTTATAAAACAATTAAAACATACATATATATATAACTGCCAACAGATAAAAAGTTAATATGTATCTTAATTCTAGTTTTACACAATAAACGTACACAAATGTGGGCCTCATACAATTGTAGAATAGAAAGACGACATTTTGACAATGTTATGAAATCTCATTCTAAAGTTGTTATTAAAGCAAATTTTTACCAGTAGGTTGAAAATCAACTTATGCTTGTGGAATTAGGTCTGTGTCCATTACACAATTACTGTGCGTCATGTTCATTAAAATATTTAAACTCATATCTTGAGTACGTGTATAGCAGTCAAATAATTCTATTCCAAAATTCATGGGTCTCACTGTAAAAAAGTTAAATGAAATCTAACAATATAGGTTGCACGTGCTTAGGCACTGTACAACGGTAACAAAATGTACAGAGTCTAAAGCAAATTTTGCTTGATTTCCTGGATTTCTTCTTCAAAACATTGCATGCATGTTTCAAATGTCGTCTTCTTCAATTTTCGGTTAAATATTTCTGTCATTGGGCCTAAATAAAACAATTATAGTATATTCTAAAATTTTCAAGATAAGCTCACAAAAAAGTCTAGTTAACCTCTTTAATGGTTTAATGGTGCCAGGAATTTTTATAAACAATTTTAAAGAACATTGGACAAACATAATTTCATTTCTGATTCAAAATGAGATGGGGGTTATAAACTACATTTAGGGGCATGGAAATACACTTTTGTGTAATTTTGAACTATGGCAAGGTTTTTGTGCACACTTATAATACAATTCAGAAATGTTTACTCCATTTGGTGGGGGGGGGGGGGGAGGTAAATATCAGTAATCATGATATAAGAGATATATTATTTTATACAGAACAATAAAAACCCTTAACAGTGTAATTCTGCAGTATGGAATTTTTTTTCAACAACTTGACATCATACTTTCAATTGTTTTCAACAACAACATGGTTAATATTAATAAATCAGCATTTGGGCTCGTATCAAATGGAATTATATTGACCCCTGCCCACCTAGTACAGGGTTGTCCCCCGTTCTTGCTCCACTCATTTTCAAACTCTTGAAGAAGTATCTCAGCTCCCCTCTTTCTTGTTAAACCAGTCTCATCCAAGCTTAGTTCACACATCTGCATATCATCCTGGACAAAACATTCATAAATCAATCATTCAATCATCTGTGACCAAACATTTATAGATTCATCAATCAATCATCCCTAGGACAAACCATTCAGAAATCAATCATCCTATTATCTGGGACCAAACATTTTTAAATTCATCAATTAATCATCCCGCGGACAAAACATTCAGAAATCAATCATGTAATCATCTGGGACCAAACATTTATAGATTCATCAATTAATCATCCCAGGGACAAATCATTCAGAAATCAATCATCCTATCATCTGGAACCAAACATTTATAGATTCATCAATCAATCATCCCTTGGACAAAACATTCAGAAATCAATCATGTAATCATCTAGGACCAAACATTTATAGATTCATCAATCAATCATCCCTTGGACAAACCATTCAGAAATCAATCATGTAATCATCTGGGACCAAACATTTATAGATTCATCAATTAATCATCCCACGGACAAAACATTCAGAAATCAATTATTCAATCATCCAGACCAAAGCAGTCATCAATCAATCATTCAATCAATCCATTAAATAATATAATTCATAAATCAATCAATCAATTTTTAACTTTCATAATCTATTTCAATTAAATTTTACAATATTTTAAAATATTTATATGATATCAAATAAAAATATTTTGAGATTTCTATATTTCTTGTTCTTCATTTTCTTCTTGTTGGTACATCTGGCATAAATCTTTCAATCATATATCGGCTAATTTTAAAAAGAAAGAGATGACCTGTAATTAGCCACTTTACAAGAAAGAACTGTTTTTAAAATGATCTTCTTTTTTCCAAACCCTGTATTCATTTGAACTAGCTGACTGGCTTTCTTTTCTGGGAGCATTCTATATAGAATTCTTGGGGGCATGGGGGGGGATGAGAGTTAGCAAGTCACTACTCTTTACCCTCCTATTGCATTACTTGCACGTGTTTTGCTTGCATCAGCTTCTACACACTTTCTAGATCATTTAACTTTGGGTGGAGGGGGGGATGTCTCCCATCCCGTGTTAGTCTTCAATCGCTATCTGTAAAAAAGCTTAAAACACCTCTTCTAATATTCCTGTTCAATATTTTCTTCTTTTTTCTTGTTTTTACACTTTAAGGTCTTTCAAAAAGTTTAATCAAATCATTTTATCAATCAATATTTTAAATCAATCAGTTATTTCCACCAAATAATCAATCTTTACATTTTATCAATCTATAAAAATTTTTCATCAAATTAACTATCAATCAATGAGTCAATCAGCTAGAATCAATCATCCATTTTCATATCTTTCTGAAAAAAAATTCATAAACCAATCAATTGATCAATCAATTGATACATCAATGGATCAACTATTGATCAATCAATTGATACATCAATTGATTAAGTATTTGCATATTATCATGGAAAAATGTTCATTAAGCAATCTTTGAATGTTATCAATTGTATAATATCAAGCAATTGTTAAATCTACTTTGGGCAAAGTGACACTCCGCTTAGGCAAGCTTTTTCTTTGGATAGTGTACTGCAAATCACTGCAGTAAGAAACTAAAACCTAATTTAAGGTGGCCAGTATTTTGATCTTCTTTAGGCTCATACACTAGTATATCATTATTGCATTCTGAATCAATGAATCATTCAGCAGTCAAGTCAATCAACCAATCAACAATTTAGTCATTCAATCAATGAATCAATGAATTGAGAACGAATTGATAAATAATGATTTTATGATGAATGACCTGGCCAGCAACTAGTAGAACTGGATCTCTACCAGGATGTAGTTCCATCTGCCGAGCAATCCATTCTCCGTCAAAATGCGCGAACCACCAACCCTTTGGGGGAATGTTCATAAATTAATTTCTAATATATATCTATATATAAATTTGGCTTGTTAGTCTGTTTGTTTTGTCTGTTTGTTTGTATCCAATAAACGTCAAAACGGCTGAACCGATCGGGCCCAAATTTTTTGTGGGACATTACGTGACCACAGGGAAGGTTTATGAATGATCAAAATTTCAAATATTTGTCTCCATAAAAATTCGATCTTCATTAAATTTTTGAAAATTTTGAAAATCCACGAATTTTTTTGTGAAAATCCGCGAATTATTTTTGTTTTGTTTTACGATGTACACAAAGAGAACATGTTCACAATTAATTTAGAAGATCGGCGCGAAGCGCCCTCTAAGGCTAGTATATATTTTATTATAAAGATTTATTCACACACAAAGATATAAATACATATATAAATGGTGTAGTTAGAATTTGTTTAAATAAATTTTTTTGAAAATACAGGTTTCCAAAAGAAAAGAGAAAAAATATGCAAAATTATGCACAAATAGAAAACATTGATTTTTACTCACTACATAACATATTTATCATTTCAGTTATTACGTAATCATCGAATCCTTCAACATATAAATTATTCATTCATATATTCATATTCATATATACTTTGCTAGTTTGGGTGTCTGTATGTTTGTTTGTGTCCAATAAACATCAAAACGGATGAACCAATTGTGCCCAATTTTTTTGTGGGATCTCAAGTGACCCCAGGGATGGTTTATTCTCGATGATCAAAATTTCAAAAAATTCCAACAAAATTCGATTTTCATGAAATTTAAAAAATCTACGAATTTTGTTTTTAAAATCCGCAAACTTTTTTTGCTTTTGTTTTATAATTTGTATAAAGAGAAAAAAAATATTCACAGTTAAGAAAGTGTAAGCCTAGTTGGTAATATTTTCATTTGATTTGATGATTTGTCGCCGAGAAATATTCTGGTTTATCATCATTTTATTTTCTTCTTGCAAAATGTTATTTTATTCAAATCTATCTGAAGTGCCCGGCATTTCCCGTGGAATTTTATAAACATTTAAAACAAATTTTTAATTATATGAAAAAAATTGATTTTTGAAAAAGAAAATTTAAGCCGATTCGGTCCAGCCGTTTAGCCAGCTAAGGCTAACATATATACAAATAAATATATATATATATATGTGTGTGCTAATAGCTTTATTATATAGATTACAAAGGAAAGTTTACCTTGCCAGCAGCATTGTTATTGTTGATATTGTTGTTGTTGTTGTTGTTGTTGTTGTTGTTTGATTCCTGCCTAAGGAACGGAATCCTGAAACATCTCTCAGTCTGTGAATTCACCTTCTTTCCAGTATTCACAACAGGTTTGCTTCCCTCCTACACAATACAGTTTAACACAATACACTAGTACCCTTTCAAGACCCTTTCAAGACTTCTCTCTACAACAATGAATGATAAATTTGCATTTTTTCCTTGTTGAAAATTAATCATTTTTAATTGTGACTTGCGGAGGAAATTTTAAGAACTATTCTCTTCTGATTATTTAAAGTAAGCTTACCCACAAAAGTTGTGACTTTAATAAGGACCAAAAATTTTATAAACATCAAGCATATGCTCCAGCTAGCCAAAAGAACCATGCCAGAGCATGATAATATGAAGTTAAAGTTTAATAAGTTAAAACGACTGTTATTACAAAAAAATGTAAAAGAGAGGCGAAAACTGATGTTTTTCATGACTTACGAGAGGAAATCAAAAATAGACTTGTCTGAAATAGATTTCTTCTTCTAGAATTTACCTGAATTATTGAAGACGGAGCTCTCATATTTTCATCAAACGTTGAGTCCTTCTTCTTATTTCTTGCTTTCCATGCATGATAAACCTAGAAATTAATAAAAACAATCTTATATAAATTTGACTGATGTAAAACCACTCATGCATGACAAATATCCTAAACAGCATTTTCTATTAGAAAATTTTTTAATCTGAGATGGAATTTAAAGAATTTGAGCCGCGGTTTAAATCCGCCAAAACCCGGTTTAAATTTAGCGCCGGCTTAAATCTTGAAACATTTGATACAATTTTAAGTGGAACCAACCATATTTAAGCCGCGGCTTAAATTTAAACCGCCGCTCAAATTATTTAAATTCGGCCACAGAGCTGAAAACTTTAGAATGAGATATCTTTAATCCCGATTACTTAATCTGAGTATCCAATGGACACACTTTTGATTTTCTTCTTAATTCTCTCTTTTTGGATCTTACAGATAGATGCTGTATCGATAGGACTATCCGATTCATCTGAAGTCTGCTGTTCGCAAGCGGGCTTTTAGAGCAATACACTTAATCATGTTAATATGAACTTATAAAAAATATATTTTATCATATTTGAGGACTTTAGTAATTTTGAACTTTAGTCTTCGTAAACATTAAACCAAAACTTACGTTCGTTCAATCAATCTTTAGTTCAATTGATATGACACCATAAAACACTAGAAATGCGCAAAAATAAAACTGGGTTTTCAAAAGTTAAAGAGCGCATCTTAATATGATATGCGGATTGGTTGAATTTTAAACTTCTTTCTTGGTTTCCGAATGCATATTAACCTAACCTCGGATTAGTAAAACCAGGAGATCAAACATAGATCTGGATATCCACCATTCTAAAGTTTTCAGCTATGGAAAGCCTACGAATTTTCAATCTTACTGTTTTGTAATAACAACAACAAATGTTACAAGTTAAAGCATTTTTAACCAGGGTTACCCACAAAGGATGAGACTTCAAAGACGACCGCATCGAATTTTTGCTGACTTTTTACATACAGTTTTGGCCTCCTGTAGCTTAAAACTTTTTTCTTTTGGTGCCAAATAATTTAGCAAAACATTTGAAGACACTTTATAGTGCAAAATACTTAATTTAACCTTTGTTATATTTTATAGATTTTAGGTCGTCATTAAATCCTTTGTGGGTAACCCTGTTTGTACAATGTACATGTAAGACCCTTTATAGCTCAATTTATCATAAAAATTAATTATAAAATTTACCTTGAGACGCCTGTGAAATTCTTCCCTGCACGCCTTAAAACACAAGTTTATCACATTTTCTTTATTATTATTATCATATAGAGGTTTCAAGCTTTAAAGGCCACTTCTCATAATAATATCTAAAATATTCAAAATTTTATTCTACTCACCTCCAAGAGTTCTATTTCACAACTTGTATTAATTGTATCTCTTAACTCTGCATACTTCCACTTAGATAGATCATACTTCTTAGTTGCAGCCGCCTCTCTACAATATACACTTTATAGTTGCAAAATCCCTAACTACAAAAAACATTTTCTCTTCAGTATACGCTATGATTGCAGCATTCTTTCTTCAATTTACTTATTAAAGTTACAACATGCATCAGCCCTTTCTACATAATATATTTTTTAAAAGATTCTTTCTTTTGCGTATTTCAAATACTTTCAATTTATGTAATTTCAAGTGACACTCCATGCAAAGATGACAATGCCCGATTTACAACTATACCCTTGAAACCTTAATCTGATAAAAATGTCGAAGATATACTACCGTTTTTCTGACTCGAAAATTGTTTATTTCTGTGACCTTTTCAATTTTTTCTTCTAAACAAGAAATGCGCAAGTCTCTTTTCGCAAAGAAACCGGAAATATAAATAAACAGAGCTGGGAACTTCATAGAATGGGATATCCTTAATCCCGATCGGTTAAATAATCTGGAGATTAATAACAAGGGGAGTACAAGCATTATTTATTCTGGAGATTAAGAAAAAGAGGATATTACGCATTAATTCCGATATCCACCATTGAAAAGTTCCCAGCTCAGTTTAAAGGAAGGACATGAATATCCAATTAATATTTGATTAGAGAAAGAGTTAAGGGTCCCGTTGTAAATTGGGCATTGTCATCTTTACATTGAGGATCACTTGAAATTACGTTTACAGTCCCTTTTAAGACAATCCACTAACCTCTGTGCATTAACGAGGCTACTACGTTTAAGGCTATGCAACTCCTCAACAGCTCCTCCAGTCTCTGCTGCTAGCCGCAGCGCTATCTCATGATCTCTTCTCTCCTGCTCCATCTAGAAATATTATATATTATATTCAACCCTCCAGTCTCTGCTGCTATCCTTCCTCCGAGCCTCAATCTCCGCCTTCTGCCTCCGATCCTCCTCCTGCCTCCGAAGCTCAGCCTCTTCAGCCTCCTTCCGACGTTTTTCTGCCTCCATTTCCTCCTAAAAAATAGTTGAACGTGATCTCGTCAGTTGCTAATTTTCGTATAAACAGAATTGAGTTTTTGACAAACTTATGAATCATTATACCTTTGCAACCAGATGGTCTAAACCTTTGTTATTTTTAACTTTAATTATTTTATGTAAACAGCAGAATTCATTATTTAAAATCTATATGTATTTGGGTTACTAAGATATAGGAATTAGAAAATCAGAGTATGTGACAATGACTTATGATTCCTTCACTGCATGTTCATTTCGACGCAACTCTAGAACTCGAGGCTTTTTTCAGTCCAAATGAAAGCTTAGTCTTGAGTCTAAATTTCTCGTAATATTTGAATAGTCGGAGCTGGCTTTGCATTTTTTCCCCCTGTTTAATCTTCTTCCATTTCATATTGCATTTATTTCATTTCAAGCTTTTTTAATGGACTTTGGACGTAATTTTATGTTACTATCCATTTTAAATATTTTTCCGTAACTAGAAACAAGCATAGATAAAGATAAATTGCGCATAAGACTACATTTTGCATCTTGAAAGATATAAATGTACAGAGATGTTTTAAAGATATTCCAAATAAATAGATTAACTAGGTCGGTTGTGAACATTGGCTGTTCTTATGTTATTGAGTTCTTGTGGTGTACATGAGTTCTGTAGAGAGAAATTTATGTTCGCTTAGTCCTTCTCATGTCCTTCTTCAGTTCTCGGCAATATGATATATTGAAATTCTCAAAATAAAATTCAATCCTGAGTGGTTTAATAATTATGAAATCCATTAAAACACCAAACCACCCCGCTTATCATTGAAGTACACTATAATGACCCCTAGAAGTATGAGTTCGCGGACAGTACAATTCTTGGTGATTTTGCGTACATAAGCTATCTATGTTTATTTATTTATCTATGGAAACAAGGGAAAAGTTTAGTCTTTCAGTTTCAGATAAGGATTGTGAATCAGACATGCCCCTCTAATAATGGAGTCAGTTATTTTCAAATGTTTATGAGCTGCTTCCTATTTTTACCTGAAGCTTCCTAAGTTTTAGCTGCTCCTCTGCTGCTTTCTGCTTTTCTATCTTCTTCTTGACGCCAGAAAGTTCAGACTTAATTTGATCAACGAGGCCTAGAATAACAAATCTTAATTCAGGTGTCTTTGTAAACCAAAAATAAACAAAAAAGATAAAAGTTATACTTTTTACCTTGATACAATTTATCCAAATCCTTTTTTTTCAAATTCTGATTTTTCTTTATCTCAGCAATTACCTAAAAATAAAATTGTCTTTAAGTTTTCTATAATTAGTGACTCAAGTTGTCTAACTGTCTGGTATTCTTTTTTATATTAAACCCCAGTTGTCTAACTGTCTAGTATACCGTTGCTATATTAGACTCAAATAGTCTAACTACCTAGTTTATACTTTTGCTTTATTAGACTTTAATTGTCTAACTGTTTAGTATACCTTTGATATATTAGACTCTAAATGTCTAACTGTCTAGTATACCTTTTCTATATTAGACTCCAAATGTCTAACTGTTTAGTATACCTCTGATATATTAGACTCAAATAGTCTAACTTCCTAGTTTATACTTTTGCTATATAAGACCCCAAATGTCTAACTGTTTAGTATACCTTTGATATATTAGACTCCAAATGTCTAACTGTCTAGTATACCTTTGCTATATTAGACTCCAATTGTCTAACTGTCTGTAGTACAGAATCTTTGTCAGATTTTAAGCCCCCGGCCATTAAAGAGATCTGATGAACTTGACCTGGAATTTAGAACAAATTAAGGAACTTAATACTTGCCACTAACTTTGAACTTAAAAAGAAATTGTCAATTTTAGTGTAACATCCCGTTTATACCTGAGAGGGCTTTGATATTGACCAGGGCCTTGACTCTTGGCCTGTGCTTCCTCTTGGCCAGGTGCATCCTCACGGTCTTCTGGATCATTACCAGAGCATCACGCCTAGATTATAATAATAATAATAATAATTCATTTTAAATGTCGTCTAACCAAGGACGGTTAAATTTGAGATCTATGACTTCCATTGCAACCTGTGAATGAATTTTAGCCACGTCTTAAATCCCCCAAAAAACGGTTTTAATTGACCGCCGGCTTAAATCTTGAAAAATTTACTAACCATATTTGAGCGGCGGCTTAAATTTAAACCGCGGCTTAAATTCTTTAAATTCGGCCTCTGTTGAATAACATTTTTTTGGAATCCTGGCGATGAAACCAAGGGTCGACTCCGAATTGGTTTCATGGTTCTTATGGATAATTACAAAAGGAGGCTGCAGCCAGTAATAATGAGCGTGTTCGTGTTTTTGCATTTTTATCGTTCATTGCTAGTAAAATCGTTCTTTCAATAAAAGAAACGATAGTTTTTCAAAATCCTATGAAAAATTCGTTCATTCGGTAAAAAAAGACACTTTTTAAAGTTCGTTATAAATCTTTCGCGATTTTTTTTGTTCGTTTTTAAACAACGCTCGTATTTTCTTTCATTTCTTTGAGCGATCCAAGTTATTTGCCCATAAAAAGTTTTTTCTAAACGAATTCATCAAAACTTAATAATAATTCAGCTTGCACACACAATTTGCAACCTGGAAGTGTCTAATCCAAAGTTCATTATTTCTGAATAATTAGAATTAGGAAAACAAACACTTTAATTACAGTTTTCAGACATCACCGAACAACGTACGTTTGAAAAATGTTTATAAAAATTTTGAAAAATTTATTTATTTTAATTTTGAACAATTTGTGTACCTTATCAATGAGAACTTTCAGATTCTCTGGATCTGCCTTCATAAGCTGGTCAAACTCTGCAAACTTTCCAGGTCGGAAAAATACTTTGGTAAGTCCAAACTTAAAGTCGTTGTCATCCAATCCCAACGCCTGAAATGAAAAATATACTTTTATGTTAACATAAACATAAAATTTGAGTTTATACAATGAAATCATTTTTGATACCTTAAAAAGCGCCTTACAGAAAAGTCTGGGATCCAACCTAAAAATGTTTATTTTTTAGACACGTAAATTCACTTTTTTAATAAGCATGTTACAGCACATTTTGTTAAACGTGTCTTGCTTGTTTATTCTGAATTTATAATTTCATATTATGTACAAGAAACCTATTACCTAACTATGGAGGAATGTATTGCTAGTACATATTGTACAAATAAATAAACAGTAGGTACATTGCTAAATTTGGAGGAAGATATTGCTTGTACATTTTGTAAAACTAAATAAACATTATGTACCTTGCTAAATCTGGAGGGAGATACTGCTTGTACATATTGTACAACTCTGAAAACTGTGCCCTACTCGGATATCCCTAAATCATTGAAATTAATTGAATTAACATGAAGCTAGACAAAGTAAATAAAACTTGAATTTTCAAGGAATGATTAAATATCGTTCTTTCTGTAAACGTGTATCTTAATTTCGCAAAAAGATTGCAATCTCTCACACAAAAATTGATAGGAATTTTGACAATTACATCATATTTCTTTAACCCAATTCCTGCTGGGGGTGGGGTCAATTTGACGCCCCCTGTAGTTTTTTTTACATAACTCAAAAAGTATTGGTCTGAGGCTGTTGAAATGTTCTGACTTTTCCTACACTCCCAAAGCATTCCCTTTAGGCCTAAAACCGGGCTTTAATACTAACTGCCTGAGTCCTCAGGCACACTGCCTGAATGACTGTTTTTTCCTGTAACAAACTAAATCTTTGTTTTGACCCACTTCCACTTGTCAGATTTTGATAAAATTTAGCTTTTTGGAAAGTCTTTGACATAAGGAAACGAATTGCACAAGTTTTGCGAAAATAAATTGCAAATGTTTTGCAAACAATTTTGCAAAATTTTTTGCATATTTGAAATGGGATGGTCAAGGGCTTTTTAAAAATGTATAATTTTTCATTTTTTGGACAAATTTTTTTTTGCAAACATTTTTACTGTATAACTGGATTTTGCGAAAAAAAAATTCAATTTTTGCAAAGTTGCAATTTTTTTTTGCAGATTCTAAAAGCAGAGCACAAGAGTTGATATGACTGCACTGGTTCATATGAAATATTTACAAACGATGAACAAAGTTTTAAATCATAAATTCATGTTAAAATAACAATCCTTGAACATGTTTATATCAAATATAACAGCATGAAATCCAGCGGGCCTGTTCAACAGGGAAAATAATTGAGTCAGCAGAGGGTAGAAAATTATTATCTACCTGCTGCATAAGCTCTAGCACGCTGGTCATACCAGCACACTGTAGCTGGGAAAGGATTGACCCACCCTCAAACAATCCAGAAACCATCTTAACATTAGGCTTGATACACCTAAACACATTAATTAATTCATTTGTTGTATCGTCCTGTTTTACTAACTTATAGTCTGCATGTACTGTATTGTATAGTCTGCATGTACTGTATTGTATAGCCTGCATGTACTGTATTGTATAGTCTGCATGTACTGCTGTATTGTATAGTCTGCATGTACTGTATTGTATAGTCTGCATGTACTGTATTGTATAGCCTGCATGTACTGTATTGTATAGTCTGCATGTACTGTATATTAAATAAGCTTATAAAGCTTGATCAAACTGCCTAAAAGTCGATCCTGTACTTCAAATGAACCGGAGATTTCATTGAATACTTTATACGCTGTTTTCTTAATAATAAGGAATAGACTCTTCGCCAGAAACTCTCATTTTTTAATCATTATTTCTTTGCAACCAAATGTCGTAGACCTTAGATATTTCAAACTATGAATTCTGTTAAATCAAATAATCTAATTTTGAGATATCAAAATGTTACTCTATCCTTTTGCAAAGATATAGAGATAAGAAAATTTGAGTTTGTGGTAAAAACTCAATTCCTTTGCAAACACTCCGCTGAAAATGCGCCAATTTTTTTTGAGGTTTCTCCAACCCCAAAAAAAAATATGTTAGGTACATACATTGACAAATGGAAAAAATAGGTCCACCCTAATAAAAGTGAGTTTAATGTATTCAAATCTCATAATCTAGGTTTCAGTTACCATCATAGAGAATAGAATATATATTAGAGTGGAATTTAGACAGTCCTTCAGTATGAATGTTTTCAGTCCCTTTTAGCCTGAAAGGGAGTTCAAAGTGTACAAATCATGTAAATGTTCACAAATTATATGCAGTAGAGTACATTAATACCGTATGTTCCCTTGACTATCCATTTCAATTTCGAATTTTTTAAAGCTATTAAATAAACTTTATAAAATGAATTAGGTGAATAAAAAACATCATTTGATTTATAGTTATAACAGAAAATCATCGTTTGTAAAGTGAAAGGCATAAGTCTATGTGAAATGATCATTGGTTAATGATGAAACCAGCCTATTTCATAATTTGGTTTTCTTTTAATATTAATTTTAGATTTTTTTATAAAATGATGGTCCAGGGCCCAAAAGGTTATATAGCGCAAATATGTGAAGTACACCTGCAGTATGGAAACAGAACAACAAAATGGCCGTTTTACACTTTTTTCCAGTAAATTTCACTCTATTATAAATTCTATTCTCTTAGTTAGAGTTAGAGCAAATTGTACAGTATGCAATTGTACATATACTTGATTATAGACGGCAGAACTGGAAAGGACATGAAATAAAACAATACTTTAATCTCGCAAGAATATTTTGCATTGCCCTCAAATTCAGCCAAAATACTGTAAAATCAGCAATTTAATGCAGACTTTTTTTTTAAATAAAAAATAAGAATGTTTTACCTTATAAAGTTTGTTCCTGTGCTTCTCAGTTTCTCCATAAGTTCTTCCAACTGTCTTTTGAACTTATTCCCAACACTTAAAAATATTAATTAACAAATTATATCACAAATTTGATGAAAAAATGTTCATCAATTTTATAAAACATTGACGACATGGTCATAATAATTAATCAATTTTTTTACTTTAGAAAATTTTTTTTAGAGTAAAATGTTTCATCAATGACCCCCGTTCCCCTCTCCGCCATTTAAATGCATTTTACCTATTGTACCTACTGGACTAAGTTATTATATTTAAACGACATTAGTTCAGTTGGTTTTAAACACACTTTTCTTTCTGTGACACCATGTAGATAGATAGATAGATAGATAGATAAATAGATAGATTTATAAAGATAGATAGATAAATAGATAGATTTATAAAGATAGATATAGATATTTATATAGATAGATAAATAGATATTAACCTGATGAATGTTAGTTTGCCCCTGGAGGACCCGTTCTCTGACCCTTGGTTAAACAAGTCCTGGATAAACCCGTTCTTACACTCCTACAACACAAATTCAAAATGTAATTATTTTTAATTATAAAACTGTTTGTCAGAAGCAATATTTATTGACAATCTTTGATTGAACAATCTTTGATTGAACAATCTTTGATTGAACAATCTTTGATTGAACAATCTTTGATTGAACAATCTTTGATTGAACAATCTTTGATTGAACAATCTTTGATTGAACAATCTTTGATTGAACAATCTTTGATTGAACAATCTTTGATTGAACAATCTTTGATTGAACAATCTTTGATTGAACAATCTTTGATTGAACAATCTTTGATTGAACAATCTTTGATTGAACAATCTTTGATTGAACAATCTTTGAATGAACATCTTTGATTTTTTACCTGAACCAGAGCTTCCAATGAAGCGTGAAGAGCGTCGTTATTTTTCTCAATAAACTGCTGAGTTTGATAACAGACTGCTCCAGCAAAATGACGGATAAGAAATCCGTCGTCGTCTCTGAAAAAGTATTTTTAAAAAAATTTGAAAAATATATTCAGAAAACCAGGAAAATTTATTAAAATTTTCAAGAATCTCAAAACAAAAATTAAAAACCCCAGTAAAAGCCACTGAAAATGTAACAAAAACTGAACGGAAAGTGATATTATTAAATAACTTTAAAAAATAGGAAGCTTGGGATAATGTGACAATTTAAATAAGTTTTCGACACATTCTTAAATGTTCTTATCCCGTAACCTTTGGAACCTGCTGGTGTAAACCGTTGATATTTCAGACTTACACAGAATTCAAAGTTTGAAAAAAGGAAGGTTTACAACATTTGATTGTAAAGATAAAGGAATTGAATCTTTGCCACAAACTCAGATTCTCTATTTGCTGTATCTTTAAAACCAAATGTAGCAGACCTTAGATATTTCAAACTATGAAATGTGTTTGATCAAATAATATAAGTTTGAAATATCAAAGATTTACATCATCAGGCTGCAAAGATATCGAGATTGGAACATTTGAGTTTGTGACAAAGACTCAATTCCTTTGGGATAAATTGTAATTGATAATGGAAAACAGAGATTAAACGACAAAATTTCTAAAAAGCCATAAAAACCAAAATTATCGTCAACCATGAATAATAAATATGAAAAAAACTACAAAAAACTAATTTTACAAATTGCAAACCAGCACCAACATATCAAATACCAATCCCAAATACACAACAAAATGATAAAAATAAATACCTATAATAAAATAAAAACGTATAACGTAAAAAAAATGAAAATCAACCTGATCTCTCTGTGCTCTTTAAGCTTAGACTTCCTTGGCAAATCAAGTCTAAATGCAATATATATATATATACAAATTTTAAAATTATGTCCTATTTAAAATTGTAATTTTAAGTAATTTTTGTTATTTATGCTGTTTTTTGCTTTAAATTTTATGATTTAAAGATTATCATTAAGTTTTTTTATTTAAATTTTCACCTGAAATGATTCCCATTGTTGCTATGAACCTCGCTGGTAAAATGCTAAAAAAAATTGTAAAAAGAATTTGTAGATATTTTTTTTAACTTTGAATTTTGTTTTTTCATTTTATAAAATTGTTAACAAGCAATTGTTAAAGAAATTTTTAAAATTTTTTTTTTTTTGTGTGGCAACATCTTTTAGCTGTGGCCCAAGTATCCAACCATTACTTATATAGCTTTAGAAAAACCAATAAATACAATATAAGTTTACAGAAATCAATTTATCTTGATAAGTTTATTTTTAAGCTACTGGAATACTTTTATAACAATTTCAAATACACATAAGATGGCTTAAATGTCGTCTACATATTCCTCAGTTCTATGGGTCTTCCTAAATACCTGGTAACTTGATTTTGGCAGCTTTGATTCTTCATCAAGTATACTAAATATACCAGTTGACTTCCCTTCAATCAAATCAATGCAATCCTAATAATTAAAAGTTAAAAGAACTAATTACTAACCATTTGAAATCTCTATATCTTTGCACCATGAATTCGTAGATCTTCAATTTCAAAGTGTAACTTTGCTTAGAATTAAAACACATGTTTCATCAGGTTGTTAGATAAAGTGATTCTAAAATTACAGTGTGAGATGAGTGATCAGTTCCTCTACATTTAGAAGTAAATTTTTTAAATCAAAATCAAAAAAGATTTCATTAACTAGAAAAAGGTTGAAATACAATAATTAGAAATCTATTTAACCCTATTAAAGCTAGGGGTCTGAATCTATACCCCTTAGAAAAGGTCTTAGAGTGATGAAATAGGGTTGCAATGCACGATCATTGATCATAGCCCAATTTTTCAAGGCAAGCTCATTGAAAAAATAGAGCACAGCGTTACCTGTAATAGTTTTAGTGCTAACAACTAGGAAGGCTTGTATAAAAATGTCAAAAAAGATATTTTTTTTAGAAATATGAAATGTGACGCATGTATTTAAACTAATTTTCCAGGGGCTTTTCAAAAATTTAGTTTTAAGATCCGTAGCGTTAATAAAAAAGCTGTGGATTATTTTAGATTTCTTTTAACACGGACCGGCCTTTTTATGCACCCTACCTAGCTTATGCATAATTTACTATTCCTTAAATATTTTTATAAAAATTAATTTTTTACTTTCATATTTTTTAACATAATTCAGGACGATCATCGTACAGCGAATCCCGAATATGAGAATATATAGCAAGAGTTTTTTTAATGTCGTATTCTCAATATATCTAAGATCGAATGCAGCGGAAAAACAATTTTAATATATCAATTGCTGTCCTTCATATTTCAGGGCTATTAATTAACTTTGAATTAAAAATAAAAAACAGTTTCTTGATAATTATCAAAAAACTTTTGACTACAATGATATTTGGATATATTTTCACAAATCGTATTCAACCCTTTGAAGCACCGACCATCTCAGCAGCTTTCTTTTTCAGCTTTTACAGCTGTCATACATTTTTAAATACATTTCAAGTCGACATTTCATGCGCTCTTGCTAAGTATTCCTATATTTAAGACTGGCTGTTCTTTTTTTAAATATATCAATAAACCCTATAATACATTTAGTGAACTTTCTGCATAAAATCTGGTAATTTTAAAATTTAGAAAAATCCTATGTGATATCATTGACAACTGACCGTCCAAAATTTTGACAGGGTCAGAGGTCATGTTTTATAAAAATATAAACATAGGAAGAAAACCTTGACAGGGTCAGAGGTCATGTTTTATAAAAATATAAACATAGGAAGAAAACCTTGACAGGGTCAGAGGTCATGTTTTATAGAAATATAAACATAGGAAGAAAACCTTGGCAGGGTCAGAGGTCATGTTTTATAAAAATATAAACATAGGAAGAAAACCTTGACAAGGTCAGAGGTCATGTTTTATAAAAATATGAAAAAACCTGATTATCCACAAACTTGACATTCTTGACTCCTAGTCCCTCCTTCTTGTACAGCTCTTGTTCATCCTCAAATAAAGTATTTGAGTAAATAATTATGTACAGTTCTTGTACAGTTCTTGTACAGTTCTTGTACAGTTCTTATACAATTCTTGTACAGTTCTTGTACAGTTCTTATACAGTTCTTGTACAGTACTTGTTCATCCTCAAATAATTATATAAATATATTTAGTTTTCTATGCAAACTCAGCTCGTAGATTAAAGGGACAGACCGGCTATTTAAGGTAGTTCAACTGAGTATGCAGTGTTGTGAACAAATTCTTTAGGATTCTTTTGAGACATATAAACTTTTTAAAGATCTGTAAACCCTGAGTTTGAGCACAAAGTCGACGTTCAAAATCGTACTTTTGGGTGGAGATACGTTTTCAGAATTGTTTTTTTTAAATCATTTTTTTGAAATTTCTCAAATGAATCCTAAGGAATTTGTCCACAACACTCCATACTCAGTTCAACTACCTTACATAGCCGGTCTGTCCCTTTAATGAAAATATTTCAATACTATTGACCAATAATTTGATCAAATTCTTAACTGGTCCAATTGGTTGATTTTTGAAATTCCGCAAAACGCCGGGAAACAAACAGAAACATAAGCAAAGGTGAAACGCTTCACTGTAGACAACTGCTTAATAAACAGCCACAGAATATAAAATCTAACGAGCACGGGCAACGTTGGATATTTCTGCTAGAAGCTTCTAAAACCAAGAAAACTAACCTTCAGAATTCTCTGATTGAAGAATTGTTGAAGCTTCTCATTGCAGTAGTTGATGCAAAACTATTTAAATAATATTTTCATTAAGAATATATGTTTATAAAAAAGGGAATAAATTACAATTAGCATAAGAAACGTAGTTTTTGCCAAAAATTCTAATTTTCTATTTCCTAAATCTTTTAACCTGACTTTGCAAAACTTAGAACTTTGTATAAATATAGAACTTATAGCAACATTTAGAACGAGGAACTTGGTTTTTCAAACAGTTTTCGACTTTTCCAAAAATAAATCAGGACGAAAAAAAATCTTTAGCAAATTCAAAGATGCTGATTTTATTCATAATCGTATTACGTATGAAAAATTTAAATAAAAACATAATAGTTTTCCTGCTCAAAACTGTTTACAGCAAAGTATTCGAATCCAGCAATATCTAAAATTTCATTTTTAAAAATTTACCTTTGCTGTTGCGATAATTGTCTATTTTTTTCAATTATGGGGAGATTTATATATATAAATATTTTACCTGGCGCTATTAGCCTCGTACACCTTCAGAGGGACCATGATCACAGTTCCTTTAAATCCACCCTGAACCAATCAATCAATCAATTAACTAATCTTCTCCGGGTTATCAATTAAAAAATCAAAAAATCAAATAAATTTATTATTTAATCGATCATTAATTAAATAGGCAATCAATTATTAAATCAATTAATTAAATAATAATCTAATTAATTAATCAATCACATTTTTGTTATTTTCAAATAAAGAAACTGCAACATCATTCCGATAAAAGCTTATTCTTAAAAGATAAAAATACATACCTTGATAGCCTGCATAACGCGCGCAGTAAGTGCGCGCCTAAGCTCATCAATATCAAGACCTAACAGTTCAGATGTCGTCTTCAAACTTCCTTCACATCTGAAATTACGCAATTACTTACAATTATATTTCTATTTTCCCGCATTTTTTAACTTTTCTTACCTTTCCTTTACTCTTGATCCGCCTCTATTGTCATCCGGATCATCCTAAACATTTTTGTGTAAATATTTTTTTTTGACTCCAAAAATATTGCGTCAAAATGTCTCAGCAAAGGGACTGAGTTTTTGCCAAAAACTCTAATTTTTAATCATTATGTATTTGCAACACAATTTATAGTTTGAAATATCAAAGGTCTATGACATTGGATTGTGAAGATATTGGGATTAAAAATTCAGAGTTTGTGGCAAAACTCAATCCTTTAAACAAATAAATCGAGTTCAAGTAAATCTCTTGAAAACTCTTGTTGTTTCAGGGCTAAATATATCTATACCTCGAATTCTACATTTCCTAGATGAAGAACGGCAGCTATGGTTGTATAAACAGACATTCGCTCCTTTTCAGACATACCAATATTACCTTATCGATAAAACTGTTAAAACAACTATCATTGTGTTCCATCCACCGAACACTTTGATATTTCACAGTAAAAATACAGTGGTCGGCGATAATATCAACACAATGAAGACGATTTTTTTTGCATCAATACTGCTTTGATCTCTGACAATTTTTTTTTCAAATGACTAATTTACAAGAAAAGAAAGACAAGCTGTTAATCGACAACTTCTCTTTGTTTCCATGCTTTTGATTTTTGAAAGCTTGGTGGAAAACTAAATTGGAATATAAAGTCGTCTTCATTGTGTTGATATTTACGAAAGATATTTGAAAGAAATTTATTAAACTATGATCGAATTTTCTTCAACTCTTAGAAATTCTTAGAAACTCAAAATTCTAGAAAAAGTTGATTATTTAAAACATGTTTTTATTATTTATAATTTTTGAATCTTAAAACATACTATATTTAGTTCTTACCAAGATCCCTATCTACTGTGTTAAATCCTTTAACATCATCCAGAATGTCGTCTTTCAAGCAACCTTTCTTCCTAAACATGATTAATGCAGGGTTACCCTCAAAGGATACAGTTAATACGACTTTAAATTCTTTAGAGAAAACGCTCTTAAGGTTCAATTCAGTGTTTTGCCTCGGAGCTAGTCTTTTAATGCCTTGGAGCTAGTCTTTAATGCCTTGGAACTAGTCTTTTAATGCCTTGGAACTAGTCTTTTAATGCCTTGGAGCTAGTCTTTAATGCCTTGGAGCTAGTCTTTTAATGCCTTGGAGCTAGTCTTTTAATGCCTTGGAGCTAGTTTTTTAATGCTTTTAGCTAGTCTTTTAATGCCTCTTAATGCCTTGGAGTAGTATGCATTTGCAGGGAAATATATAAATATAAGGAAACAGACAGACAGTATAAATTCCGAACTCACGTCAGGAAATTCTCACTCTTTGTGGATAACCCTGTATAGTTTATATATGAAGAGACCATTTTGTATTTTTCGTATTCAGTGAAACTATAAATGCTTTATATATTGTATATCTGTAAATTATAAAACTTTATAGACAATATTTTTTATATTATTCACAAGAAAATATACAACATTTTCAATGGATTTCTAGATAAGTTTTAAATTGTAGAATGTTGTAGATGTGGAATTACTGACCTATGTTCTTGAGAGAGTCGCTCGTTAGAAATCTTCTTTTCTGAATCCGGAGTCAAGAAGTACTGAGTAGAACCTCCAGCTAAATATCTAAACAATTTATCATAAAATTATAGTAAAACAGGACGATATTTAAATCTTATGTGCATTTAGTGTTGTTTAAAGCAAATAGTTTAAGCCACCATAGTTTCAGTAGAAGTGAATATTTCCATTTAGTGTTTAGCGCCGATATCAGGATTCATAAATCTGATGGGATAATGAGATAGCTAGAAAGATAGATGTTACCGCCATACTATTTATATTGGCTCAGAATAGACAACAAACACATGACTGAACCCTGATTGGATCAGGCGCTAATGGACTCGGCATACAGGAGTAAAGCAGAAGCTTGCAAATATTTTCTAAGAGAAATGGGTCAGTCATACTGCACAATTCCTGTGTTAAAAATTTTAAATAATTACTTTCGTTTAATAAACTTCTTTAAGGGTTCCATTATATGTACTAGCAGTCAAGAGTTGATGCGAAAAAAATTGTCTTTTTACGAAAAGCTATTTTACAAAAACTGTAAAAAAATTGTTGAAAATAATAGTACATGGATTAAGAAAGAAAATGAAACATTTCATATTCTTTATATCCCATTCCCAGCTGCTAGCAAATCCATAGAATTTGAAGGATCACAAAAGAAGTGCCAGATAAAGATCATCCGGTTTATCAAAGATGTTAACAAACATTACTAATAAATTCTTAAAAAAATACTTGATCCGAACTCAAATCATTCAATACTTTTTCTTGATAAGCAAAATGTGGTTTTAGTGAAAAATAAGTTAAGATAATATTGCCATACGATATTTTGTGGTTTTAATTCGTTTTGAAAGAATCTCTTCTGTTCCTTTTATGGGCAATTTTAATTTGTCTTGTTTTGTTCCCCTGGCCAGTTTTTTTTTTCTATTCCAAAGCCTGAAGGATGTTGAAAAATCATAAATTCATGAAACTTTATTGTTCTCCGAAAAAACTAATTTGTGCAACTTTTTAAGGATTCTGAGGGGAATTTGAACACTCAAAGGGACTGTAAAGGAAAAATGAAAGGGGGTATAGGCTGAAAGCTAATCACTTTAGCTCTTGATCGCGACCCATGAAAGTCATATCTGATGTTCCTGTCTCGAGAAATTCATATAAAACTGTGTCAAATCTATACGAAAATTAATCTATATACAATTTTGTATAAAAGTAGTAGGTTTAAACAGATCATATTCAGCAAATAAGCAACCAATCTGAAAACGATGATATCCCAGAGAAAGCTAATTGTAATTTAGGTTTACTTTTATATTTGTTGTTTCTATTTTCAACAGATTTCATTCATAATATTATTTTTACGTCCGTATTACTTGACCAGAAATTCCACCAATGGCAGTGCAGTAAAGTGGTCACGTGATACAGGCGGAGACACGTGACCAGTATACTGCTCTGCCATTGGTGATAGTTCTGGTCACGTGATTTAAGTTTCAGATTTTCAAAATTTTACATATATGAATTTTCGAATAATTTTAACACAGTTTTATATCAGTTTCTCGAGACAGGAACATCAGATATAACTTTCATGGGTCGTGATCAAGAGCTAAAGTGATTAGCTTTCAGCCTATACCCCCTTTCATTTTTCCTTTACTGTCCCTTTAAACTTATTCTATTAATAAGATTCCTTTAGCCGGGTATCATGAAGAACAGTATCATAAATGGCTCGTGAGAGCCATTTGAAGTCAGAATTTATCGAGAAATGATTTAACGATTAATTGTGTTCAATTATCAATGGTTGAGGGACCCATAAAGACTAAAAAGAATTGTAATTAGTAAATCTTTAGATTGACAAATATCAAGACTTTAGAATTTGAAATCAACATTAACAATTAACATGTGTAATTTAGTTTTCTGAAATGCTTTAACAAAATATGCAAACAATGTTTTCTTATTTAACTTTCATCAGGATTCCACTTGACGGATAAAGTACGGCCTTGCTTCTGATTTTTTACTTTACAAATATAACATATTTCCAGAATTTTCGAATAAAAGAAAATAAGAATTTTTTCTGAAAACACTTCAGGAAATTACCGGCAAAGGAATTGCGTTTTTGCCACATATTCTGATTTTCTAACCTTTTATATTCGCAACCCAATGTCGTAGATATTTCAAACTACGAGTTCTGTTTGAAATATCAAAGGCTTACATCATTAGGTTGCAAAGATATAGGGATGAGAAAATTTGAGTGTGAGGCCCGTCAAAGACTCAATTCCTCTTATATCGTTCCGAATCACCAATTTTCTACTAATTTCATTATTTTTATTTCCAGGAACATTCCGTATTTTTCCGTAAAATTTTCCATTGTTCATACGATTTTTATGTTGTCTGTGATTTTTAAAAGGTCATGTTTTTTTAATTAATTAGATTTTGGGTAACTTAAACTTTGACGGTGATACCCCTTGGCTAAGGGTTTACAAAAAAATGCCTATGGATTAAGTACAGTGAAAAATTTGTTTTTATTTGGTGCACCCTGTACCTAAATGAATCCGGGGCTCCTAGTTTTAGTTTCTTCCGGATACTATCATCGGCCCCTGCACACAGTTGGTAGAATATATGGTAGTTTCTCTCCTAAACCAAACCAAATATTAATATAAAGTGTTTTTTAAATTTTTTAAAATTCAATTTCGAAAAAAACTTTAAATTTTTCATTTGTTCTTATTTATGTTTGTTCTATGGTTGTTCCTGTTGGTTTTGGGAGACTACTCTAGCTCTTTCTGAAACAAAAAAAAATTACTAAAGAAGATTGAATTGAGTGATCTTCTAGTCGCTAATCTTGTAGTCTGATGGTGTAAACCTTTGGTGTTTCAAATTAATTTTTTGTAGTAACTATGAAGGTCTCTGACAGTATGTAGGGCTTGCAACTTTTAGGGCAAACAATTTGCAACTTTTATGGCAATCAATTTGCAACTTTTAGGGCAAACAATTTGCAACTTTTATGGCAATCAATTTGCAACTTTTAGGGCAAACAATTTGCAACTTTTAGGGCAAACAATTTACAACTTTTAGGACAAACAATTTGCAACTTTTAGGGCAAACAATTTGCAACTTTTATGGCAATCAATTTGCAACTTTTAGGGCAAACAATTTGCAACTTTTAGGACAAACAATTTGCAACTTTTAGGACAAACAATTTGAAACTTTTAAAAATTCAGTGTTAAGTATTTCCAACAACGTTGCCTAATTCATTTTTCGATAATCACGCACCTCTGACCCTTTAGTAAAAGTAAATTCAACCTAAAGTCTGTCTGCTTAATTTACCCAATGTCCGGGTGATACAGTACAAACTGGGACCGGAAAGGTTGACCCGGCTCGGAAATTCAAATGTACTACGGCTGCCGGTGTAATGTTACTCTTACGACCAAGGATAAAACCCAAGTTTTTTTTTTTTCTAATTCTTTTTGGGATTTTCGAAATTAATACTTATTAAAATTACCTAGAAGATAGTGACTGATATACCCTCCTGCAACCTACAATATTTTTAAACTCTGTAAATTGCAAATTTATGCTCATTTGTGTCATCAATTTGCGCAATTTTTGCACTAAAACGAGGTCGAAAATTGCAAAACCAATTGATATATTACACGGAGCATAAATTACACTAAATTGAAAAAAGAGCAGCTACTTAGGCGAAATTACCTAAAGAAAGTTTCAATAAAAATGTGAATAAAAACTGTGCGAATTGCTTTTAGTGTAAATTCAAATACAGAATTTTTACAAATGCATTTATATTTTTAAATAACATTTTTTACACTAACAATAACACAAAACGATAATCACACAGAAGTGAAATAAAAGGCCGCGATTTGGAAAGGGAAAAAATTTAAGAGGAAACTTAAACACAGCTTGTCATCGAAAAAAACTTGAAAACGTCAAAATTTTGAAAATTTCAAATAAACACAAAACATATAAAACTGTTTTCTTGTTTCCAACAAAAAATAAATTTTAGATTTCTTTAATGTCGTCTTCTTATTCCCCGGTTTAAGGGGTCAGTAGTAAAAACAAAACAAAACAAAATTGCAAACAAAAAAATTGGAGTTACCAACCTGACACCGACTATCAAAATGGATCTCAATAAACTTCCCAAACCTGAACACAAAAATATTAATTTTGTTATATTCTCAATTAAGGGATTGTAGACATTCAAGTGATCCTTTATTTTAAAATGGATTGTTGGATTCACATTTATTTTATACCCTTTCTTTGATCACAGAAATATGGATAGTAATAATTTTAATATACAAATATATAATTTAATAAATAGGTAGATAGATAGACTAAAGAAAGATAGATAAATAGATAGATGGATAGATAGATAGATAGATAGATAGATAGATAGATAGATAAATAGATAGATAGATAGATAGATAGATAGAAGATAGATAGATAGATAAAAGTATGTTCACCTGGAGCTGTTATTATTCCTGATAGTTTTAGCATTACCAAATGCTTCTAGGATAGGGTTGGCTTGAAGGATCTTTTTCTCCAGGGACCCCGCACTCTATGCAATTTCATAATAGTTCAATAAATATGAAAAACATCAATATTTTAATATTGCAATTTTTTCACATAAACTGAAAGCTTCTAATCCCTCTGAATCAGTGCATTATTAAAGAAGTACGCCTTTGATATTATAAACTTATTTAATCTTACTGAACTCATAGTTTAATACATCTAAGCTCTACGACACTGGATTTTTAGAATCATAGCTTGTAGCAAATACTCCTTTCTCTTTTATTTTTCAACTTAGCGTAATATTGTATATAATTATTCACCTGATACTATTATAGATTGGGATTGCTTCAGAACCTTCATGTCTCTAAACATAAAAGGAACATTTTAAATCCCAATATTTTTTCTGCTTCAGCCACAAAATAAAAAATATATTTCGAAAAAAAAGATAATTTATATTGAATGTTTAAACATTTTAACGCAGCTTTTACACCTATAATCCTAGTAATTTAAAAAAAACCGGTTTTTTTGGCGCTTTGTTTAGGCTTCTATCAAGTTAACAGTTTGTAAGATACAAAAACAAAAACTTTTAGAACTTGCAAACTTATCAAAGAAACTTCTTTAAACCCAAACCTTTAAAACAGGAATTATTTTCAGGAAAACATTTTCAAAAGTTTATTTGTATTTTCATAAATAGATTATAATTTATAATTTTTCGATTTTGTTATTTTTTATAAAATATATTATTTGTCGCAACCAAACGTACTGAGTGACCCTAAAAACTGCTTTATTCGTCATAGCTTTGATTTTTTTTTCCTTATCATTTAGCAAAGAATAATTCCATGAACATTATGAAAACTGACACTAATGAATGCATTTTTGATAAAATTTAATGTATGATTAAAACTCGTTACTTACAGCTCGAGTTGTGTCCATTTCTGTCATGTTATTAAAATTGCCACTTTAGTCAATTTTTATCTTGTCACGCGGATTTAACAGTTCGGTTCAATTGTACCTTTACAACTTTTTTGTTGGCCGATGCAATTCGAATCAAAAAGTAAAAAAAGTGAGTCTGAGACGGAAAACATCATAATTGGAAGTCTTCAATGAAAATATGGGGTCTCTAATGAAAATCTGGGGGTCTACAGGGAGAATATTGGGGTCTCCAACGAGAATCTGGGGGTCTCCTTAATGAAAATGATTTTTTCCCAAATTCAAAAAAAGTCCGTTATTTTCAAGGTTGTTGTTGAATTATAGACAAATCGCAAATGAATTAAAATTGAAGAAACTGAACGCATCTTTTCCTGGTTTAGAATGTTGTGGTTAATTGTTTAGGGTGTTGTGTGGGACCTCACATGACCCCAGGGAAGGTTTATAATTAAATCCGCGAACTAGTTTTCCTCTTGTTTTATACTGTACAATTAGAATTAGATGCTTACAGACAAAGCCAGAGCTAAAAGTTGAGATTAGATAGAGATAACTTACCTTTAAATACCTAAGCCGAACATTATTGAGCAAAGTTGCCTCATTTAGGAACATCAAACCACAGTTGTCTTCTACTTCCTAAAATACAGGATAAATTTTTGGAAATAATAGAACATATAGTTATCATTATCCTCCTAAAATACAATGTATTGTATATTTAGGAATAAAAGAACAAAATAAAACAACTTCAGAGTATAAAGAGGGTTACAAAATAAAATTCAAGAAAATTCATCATAAGGACCTTTATCATACGCTGGAAAAAAAACATTCTCTACAGCATTTTGAATGAGGATAGCTTTTTTTTCTAATTTACTAATTTTCTAATCTTGTGCATAAAAAAAAAATCCGGGAATAAGTATGTCAAAATGTCGAATACACGCTTGGCGAATTTTTCGTTAAAAATTTTCCAAGATTTTCATGTTAAAGGGCTAATAAAATTATTTTACGAATTCTCATGACCAATTTGGCCTGCTTTTTTCGCTGAGAGAAGTAGTTTTCAAGTCATTACTTTTCTTTTGATGCATGTAAATGATTACTACCTTTGAATCGCTTTCTTCTGCAGGGTAGAGACGATCATAGGTGGTAGTTACAGCCTTTAGAGACCTAGATTATAATACTCATTTTACATTATTATATATTTTAAATAATACTTGTTTAGATTAGGAATACCACATAGCCCAGTCTAAACTAACCTAAACTTAAATAAAATATGTTTTTTTCTTTTCAAAATTTAATCCCAAACACCTCTTTGTAGGTAAAAGTTTTGCTAACTCTAACAAACTAACCAATAAATGATTAAGAATATAAAAATTGTTTATAATCAATGGCTTGACAATTAAAAGAGCAGAAAAGTGTTGATTTTAGTCAAAAAAGAATAATGTCTGTTTTGTTTTCTAATTAAACGTTAGCAAACGGAATGGAAAGAAATCCCAGCATTAGATTTTCTTTTTCTAATGATTCATTAGATATTTCTATCAATTGGTCTGAAATGCTGAGCACTGCATGAAAAATCTCTAATCTAGAATGCATGATCTCGATATATCAAATGAAGGAACTCTTGAATTTGAAGATAAATGATTGATCCCTCAATTAAAATTATGAATATATATAACTGCCCCGGGTTATTAAAGAGCACATAATCAATTCGTAGGTTTGCATAAAATGTTCAGATCAATCCTGAGATTAACATCACAAAAGTTGGTCCCTCTGGAAAGTATGGCAACTTGTCAGATTCTGTTTAACTTACAGGGTTACTCGCAAAGGATGAGGCTTCAGAGACGACTGTGCGAAATTAATTATCTCTTTTTTCGTCCTTTTTTGGCTCCCTCCAACTTTAAACATGTTTCTTTCTTTTCCAAATCATTTATTATGGCAAGCAATAAGCCAACTTCAACCAATAGATATATTTAAGTCGCCTTTATGCTATAAGATTAAATATTGAACCACCTATTTTTAGAAAAATTGTAAAAATAAACTGTAAAAAAAAACCTGTCAATGGGTTGAACTACAGGACCGTCTTCAGCAAATTCTACTATTTTGCCGAGAATAAATCCCTGGGCGGGATCAGACAACCAAACTTTTTCAGAATTCATTTTTTAATCACGCATCTGTAAAAACTTAAAAAATAAATGTTTTGATTAATGCAAATAAACACTAAACAGAACTACATTTTTTGTGAGAGTTAACTATAATTTTTTTTTTGGTATACATTTATATGTATATATGAAGTAATAATCTGTTTGTTTGTATCATGTAAAACTCTTGAACTCTAAATAACCGATTTGCCTCAAATTTTGATTGGGGAACTCGGGAGCACCACGGGAATATTTTAAGCCTTGTTTTGAGATTCTAAGATGAGTAACATGGGCAACGCGGGGAACTTCAGCTAATGTAAGTACACATATAATTGATTTGAATTCAAGGATAAAAAATCACAGGTAAAACAGCAAAAAAAGATTAAAAACGAAGCACCCTGTATATAACTCTTATTGTGTAAACTTCTTTGAGTCATCCATTGAAATACTACACCTAGCATAGTAATTCTTACTACGGAGGGTGATACAAGTACTACACCTAGCATAGTAATTCTTACTACGGAGGGTGATACAAATACTACACCTAGCATAGTAATTCTTACTACGGAGGGTGATACAAATGAAAAATTTCTGAAACACTAGCAAAATTCTAAGGGAAATAAATTGAAAAATTTTTTTTTAAAGGGAGTGACCGGCTATGTATGGTAGTTGAGCTGAGTATGTAGTATTGTGGACAAATTCTTTGGGATTCATTTTAAAAGTACAAAACGATTCTACGATGTGTAATTACTGAGTTTGAGCGCAAAGTCGACGTTCAAAATCGTCTTTTTTGGTGGATACCTTTTTGAAAATCGTTTTTTTAATTATTAAATGACGACAAGAATGTGAAAACAATTATACAATATACTAATGGCATAAATAGAACCAGGTTGAGGTCCACATATGAGAAAAATTATCCATTAGAAATGGCCAAATAGATGGCAACAGAGAAATGGACCAATTATACACGACGTCACAAGTGTCTAATATAACAAGGAAAACGTAATTTCTCACATTATCTGACATGTTTTCCAAGATTAAATAAAAAAGTGAAAAAATAGAAAATAAAGAACACATAAAATTGCACTTATTTTACTGTAAAATAAGCACTTTATTCTAAAATTGTCACTATTATCAATAATTTTGTCAGACACAAAAACTGAATTGTCACTTGTGACGTCAGAATACAGCTGTACTGAGAGTGTACAAATTCTACGTTGCCATCTATTGTACTAGAATTTATTTAGAAATGGCGGAAATATTCAATTCCACGTGGAAATTATTTTAGTTTGCCGTGATTAGGTATTTATACAGTTGGAGTCGAGTAAATGTAATCATTTCCTTTCCTTTATCTTGAACACTTTCAGATTTCTTTAATCATTAATAACACAATTGCTTGTTTATATTTTACGCTTAAAGGGACTGTAAGCGTATCTCAAGTTACCTTCCGAGTAAAGATGACAATACCAGATTCACAGCAGTACCTTTAAACCTATATAGTAATCAGTTTTAAAATTATAAACATTAATATCTAATTTATAATAAGAAAACGCTTTCGAAGGTACCGTTGTGCATAAGGCATTGGCATCCTTACATGAAAATTATTCTTACAGTTCATTTAAACTTTATTCCTTGCCACCACGTTTTTAAATAAAATGAACACGTATCTCCTGCAATATTGTTAATACTAAATAATATGAATATTCTTATCTTTCACGGACAAGCTAATCATTCTGTAGATCCTTTTAATACAATGATAACCAGAAAACTCTGAAATATGAAGTCTACTTTTAGACTCAAGTAATGACTTAGAATAGTCCAATTAACATGAGACACAGAAGTGTAAACATACTTAAAACTTGATTTAATAAACATCGAATGCATTTCAGTATTACTTTAATATCGTCTTCCTATTCTACAGTTTTCTGGTTCTCCCTGTACAATTGTATGCTGTGGCTTTAACACTATTTATCTATTTAACTATAATCTTTATATTATGATTAATCGATAAATTTAGCTATCTAATTTTTAGCTTATACATAATAAACAATAAACATATGTAATTATAAATATATTTTCATATCTAGTTATGAGCTATTGAACTTTATAGTCTGTGATAATAAAAATAAGTTTGTGGCAAAAACTCAATTCTTTTAAAACCCATTTAATGCACAAAACAATTTCCTATACAACTAAAAAATACTATATGTTCATAATTTTTTTAAAGCTAAATCTAATAAGATGAAATTAAAAAAAAATATCAATGCTTCAGTAAATGTCAAAATTAAAATTTTAAAATTGTTTTAATATTTCCAAACTAAATAAGGGACTAAATCATTTAAAACACGTGAAATATAAACAAAGTAAAACTGCTTCAAAACTAATCTTAACTCCCTTTAATCAAGCTGATTAGCAACGCTGTAAATATTCCCTTATCAGTGGTTTTTACTCTTCGACTAAGGCTTATCATAAATCATAATACCCAGCTCAAAAATCCTTGGATGCGTTATTGTGAATATTTTACAAGAGATATTTAATGAAGACGACCTAAGGAAACCACGAATCCGGAAAGTTTTAAAACAAGTAAATCCGGGAAAAGGAGATTCCACGAAAAAGGCATTGAAAAGCAATGAAACGTACTTTGAGTCCTATTTTCTTATTTAAATAATGCATCTTCTAATCAATAAATAAAATAAAACGCCTACTTCATAACAAGTCCGCGAACAGTATCAGTTCATTTCCCTAACAAGTAACAGTCTTTTAAATGCTGTTGCACAACCAAAAGTCCCATAAGTCGTCTATGGCTGATGATAATATGGGTTTCACTTGGTTTCACTTTATGAAGCTTGGCAAGAACTGCTTCTGTAAGTTTGTAACGATCACTATATCGTTACACTTGTTGGTTTCACCTGTCCCCCCTCCCCCATACCCCACCCCACCTTCCCCCCATTCCCTTTCATCCAATCCCCACTTCCTATTTCCGCAAACTTATGTAGAATACATATTCTCTTCCCTTCTCCCCTCCTTCCCTTTCAACCTATCTTTCTATCCTATTTCCGCAAACTTATTGTAGAATACATACTCTCCTTCTTCCTTGCAACTCTACTGTATATTTGTTGAATAAACTGATTTAAGCATGTGTGTAAGAATTTAACAATGGTGACTCGATAATTTAATTCTTAAATACTGCCCTAGATAAATAGAAATATAGATAGATAGATAAAAATACAGATAAATAGAAATATAGATAGACATATAGAAATACAGATAGATAGATAGATTGTTAGATAGTCAGACAGATAGATAGATAGATATATAGTTAGTCAGACAGATAGATAGATGGACAGAAAGATAAATAGAATAATAGAGATAGAATGATGATAGATGGATAGAAAGATAGAAAGATGTATAGATTATAGATAGGCAGATATGGCTAAATTAATGTATGTATATTGCGAATGCAGTTGTCATAAACGCAACAAAAAAAACCTCGGCCAACATGACAAAAACTGAACAAAACTTTGAAGCGTATGAACTTAAAACTATCTATATCTTGTAGTTTTCATTCGAATTTTGCAGTTATTAAAGACATTTAAAACTCAAAAGAGAAAAAGACAACAGTATTTTCGCAGTTTTTAGTTTATCAGTGCACTCTCCACTGAAATACGAATCTAAAGCCGATGACGAAGCATTGTTTAGTCAACAGAACCGTATAATCTCTATGACTGGTTCGTAAGTGTAAGTATCCTGTGAAAGTTAATATTACAACAGATGGAATACACAAATTTCGAAATTTAGACAATTTGCAATTGTAAATAAAAAATTAAGATGAAATATTTATTTTTCTTTATATTAAAATTCATCATTTTGGATTTGTTTTATAGTTCATTTTCGAATATTACGCCGGGCTGTTTCCGTCAGGTGTTACCATTTTTCGGAATATTATTGCATTTTCTTCACGAAATTTCGGAGATTTGAACGTTGGGACGAACTAATCCTTGATAAGAGGGGGGGGGGGGGTTAAGGCACTATCTGTGCAATTTCTTTTCAATAGGGGAGTGTCCGAATCAAAAATGGAAGTTAAATGCAACTTTCTCAAAAAAAGAAAATATTAAAAAATTAAACATCTACTAATTATTTTTGAAAATCCAACTCTAGAATGTTTTATTCTATAGATAATGTGAGTTAACTGATAAAAAAATAAAGCAAATTCATCATAGGTGCAGTCAAGGTTTGGTGAAGGAGGAAGGTTGATAAATTTTGCTTTAAAAGATTTTAAATGTGAATTTGAACGAATTCGACCGTTGTATAGGTAAGGCAATATGAGGGGGGGCGATGATCGCCACCCCCCCCCTCATCACACCTACTGTTGTCCACTATATAAACTGTAACTGGCTGGCTGTATAAAGTCCTACTGCCTGGATTTCAGGTCTATAAACTGTATCCACGTCTATATACTGTATCCAGGTATACTACCAGCTACTAGACTTAAAGGAATCCTAATAGGGCTTCCNTACCCCTCCCACTTTCATTAATACAATCCCCCTTTCATTCTACCATATGCCTCCTCTTTCATCCAACCATCCTTCTCCCCCTTTCATTAATACAATCCTCCTTTCATTCTACCAAATCCATCCCACTTTCATCCAACCATTCCCTATCATTTATACAAATCCCTTCTTATTCCCCTTCCATTTTTTCGGTTACCCCCTTCCTTTCCATCTTTTAAGCACTTCCTTTCCATCTTTTAAATACTTCCTTTCCATTTTTAAACACTTCCTTTCCATCTTTTAGACACTTCCTTTCCATCTTTTAAATACTTCCTTTCATCTTTAAATACTTCCTTTCCATCTTTTAAACAATTCCTTTCCATCTTTTAAACACTTCCTTTCTAATTCCAAACTAAAACTCTGTTTTTCTTCAATTTTTCCCATGTAGCAAAACTAGGCCCTTTTTTAATTTTAGACACAGGGATATCCCCCCCCCCTCTTGGGAAAATACGGGAACAGGTGTTTCCCATTTCCCGGATACAGAGGAA